AATTCAACACAAGAACAGATTTATTAAAAGATGTTAGAAGAAAGAAAAAAATCACATATGAGGGGAAACCTATCCAAATCACAACACACTTCTCCACACAAATATTTAAGTCAAGGGGATCTTGGAGTAAAGTATTTCAAACCCTGTAAAAAAAAAAATCTCCAACACACATTGATATACCCCATAAAGTTATCTTTCAAAATTTATGCAGAAGTAAGATCCTTCCATGATAAGTAACTCCTGATGCAATTTATGACTTCCAAACCCACATGCCAAAATTTCTGAAAGATACTGTAGAATAACAGTATGAAGACAGGGGTTGGGGATTTAGCTCAGCAGCAAAGCGCCTGCCTGGCAAGCGCAAGGTGGTGAGTTTGGTTCCTGGTACTGGAGAAAAAACACCCCCAGAAAAAAAATAGTATGAAGACAGTTCCAAGAATCCAAATAGAATGAATCCACCAGGCAAAGCAAGCTGTTAATATAATCAGTAATGGCAAAATTATATCATGACAAGGAGAAGTCAATATCTGTCATTTATAACAATCAATGTGAATCATCTCAAATCACAAATCAAGAAAAACAGATTGGCATAATGAATCAGGAAACAAGATCCAACAATGTGCTACATAAAAGAAACATATTTAAATTAAAGACATTTATAGACTGAAAGTCAAATGAAGGAATATATGCCATGCGGCAGGATCCTGGTAAAAAAGCATGAGCAGCAATTCCATTTGTAGACAGTCAATTTCAAGCCAAGGCTGATCATAAGAGACAAAGAAGGTCAGTAAATAATTATTAATGAAACAACCCAAGTGAGAGAAAAATCACAAATATATATGCACCAAATACTAGCACACCCATCTATATAAAGCAAACACTAATGGATACAAAATTCAGTTAAGAACTAATACAATTGTAATGGCAAACAATAACCCACAGTCAAAAATATAGAGAATAAGTAGCCAAAAAAATTAACAAAGAAATTCTAGACCTGAATGTAAGCCCTGAATCAAGGCACTTAGTAGATAGAGTGCTTCACCCACCAAGAAAGAGGCTGCACATTTTTCTCAGCAGCACATGGGACTTTCTTCAAAATAGACCATATGCTAGCTCATAGTACATAGTTAAGTAAACACAAAGGATTTGAAATTGTTCCATGCATATTATCAGATCATTGGCCAGTGAAATTAGAAAAACTTAGCAAAAGAATCTATGAAAATTACCCAAATATATGGAAATTAAATAACAACCAATTGAATAACCAACGGGTCACAGATGAAATGAAGGAAGAGATTATACAATTTCTACAATTATACATGCCATCCTTCATATTAGAACTCATGGAGGGGCCAGGGATATAGCTCAGTGGCAAAAGCGCCTACCTGGCAAGCATAATGTCCTGAGTTAGATTTCCAGTGCCATAAAAAAAAAAAAAAAGAAAGAAAGAAATGGAACTCGTGGGATGCAAGGACAGCAATTCTATAGGGGAAATTCTCACTTCAAAAATAGAACAAGTTCAAATAAGTTACTTAATGTTGAACCTCAAGGTACTAGAAGTTCAAGTTATACTTATGCCTTGTGTTAGGTAGGAAATTATAAAAATTGGAGCAGAAATTAATTCAATTGAGTCTTGGAAAATAATACAAAAATCAGTGAATCAGAGTTACTTCTTTGGAAAATTCAATAAATTGTAGAAAACCTTAGCAGCCTTATTAAAAATGAAAAAGGCAACTCCATGCAATTAGGAAAGAAAAGTGAAAAATAACTATGGATCATACAAAATGCAGTATATCATTCACACTTCCTTTGAGAACTTGAACTTTAATAAGATTGAAAACTCAGATGAAATAAATTCCTAGATGCATATGAATTACCAAAGCTGAATCAACAAGATTGAAAAAATTTTAAATAACACATCAGTGCATGAAACCGAAATCGTAATAAACTACCAACAAAGCGAAGCCCAATTCAGACCAATTCACTGCTGAACTGTGTAAGACCTTTAAAAATTGAATACCACACTTCTCCATGAAGTCTTACTAAATTGAAAGGAAAGCAAAACTCCCCAAATCATTCCTACAAACAATCATTACATTGATATTAAATCCAGAGAAGGCTCCAGTCAAAAATTTGAACTACTGGCTAGTCTTACAATGAATATAGATGCAAAATCATTTATAAAATACTGGCAAACAGAATGCATCAAATCATTAAAAAGATAATACACCATGACAGAGTAAAATTCATCCCAAGGACTGAGAAATGGTTCAACATATACAGATCCACAAATGTCATACAGTACATTAACACAATCAAGGACAAAAAACTAAGTGATCATCTCAATAGATGCACAGATAAATTTCACAAAGTCCAATACACATGCAAGAAATACAATCTGATAAAAGCCACATATGGCCAATGAACATCCAAGTTCATACTAAATGGTCTAAAACTGAAAGCTTTTACTCTGAAATCATAAGCAAGGCACAAATACACATTATTACCACTTCTGTTCACTATAGTTCTGGAAACAGTCAGAGCAATTAGACAAGAGAAAGATATAAAAGGAACATGAATATGAAAAGAACAAGTTAAATTATCATTATTTTCTGATGACATGGTGCTCTACCTAGAATACCCAAAACACTCCCCCAAATAGCTCCTAAATTTAATAACTTAGTTCAGTAGCATAGTGGAATACAAAGCCAACAATAAAAAATCAATATCATACCTGTACATGAATAATAAACTCACTCAAAGAGAAGTTAGTGAAATGACACGTTTCATAGTAGCATTAAGAAGAATGAAATAGGAGTCAATTTAAGGAAGTGAAAGACCTTTACAGTGAAATCTTCAGTACTCTGAAAAAATTGAAGAGGATATCAGAAATAGAAAAGATACACCATATTCTTGGATGAACAGAACCATTATGGTGAAAGTGGCCATACTTCTAAAACTGTTATACAACTGTAATGCAACCCCAAATCAAAATACTAATAGCTTACATGACAGAACTAGAAGAAATAATCCTAAAATTCAAATAGGCCAGAAAAGACTTAGAGTAGGATAAACAATTTTGGGCAACAAGGCAAGGCCAGAAGCATGTAACCCTCAATTTGCAGTTATACTACAAAGTTACCATGATGAAAACAGTATAACAATGGGAAACAAACAGACCCAATGGTTGTAATAGAATAGAAGATGGGGAAACAGCTCCAAACATACTCAGGTGTCTTATCTTTCATAAAGTGGCCAAACACCTTCATTGGAAAAAATATATAAACTCTTAATATATGGTGCTGGAAACATTGGTTTCCATAATCTGAATACTGAACATAGAGCCATAGTCTCCCCATGTGCTAAATTAAGATAGAAATGGCTCAAAGATCTAAATATAAAAACAGAGATACTTAATCAGATAGTAGATAGAATTAGAGACCCTGTCAAAACATAGATAGGTAAAGACTTGATGAATAAAACCACAATTGCACAGGAAATTCTATAGTCAACTACAGGGATCACATCAAATTCAAAAGCTGTTGCACAGTGTCATTAGAATTCACTAACAGAGTGAAGAGACAACCCTACAAATGGGAAAAAATATTTATCAGCTACTCTTTAAATAAAAGTGTAATATCTTGACTACTTTTAGCACTTTAAAATATTAAGACCTCTAAAATTAAATTACACTGAAAATGAACATGTGAAATTAATTGACAGTTCTCAAACAACATATAAGTATATGAAAAAGTTTTCAGCATCAGTTGTCATTTGAGAAATGTAAATCAAAATAACACTGAGATTTGATCTCTAGAAAGATTAGCTATCATCAAAAAATCAACTACTAACAAATGCTGGTGTGCCTGTTGAGAAAAAGGAACCCTTGTCCATTTTTGGTGGGAGTGTAAATTGGTACAACTTCTGTGGAAGTCAGTATGGCGATTCCTCAAAAACTGAAATGAGAGGTTCCATTAGACCTAGCAGTGCCCCTACTACATATCTTACCAAAAGACGTACAGTCATCATGTCACAGTGATATATGCATAGCCATGTTTATAGCAGCAAAGTAATATCCAGTTCCATATTGAAAATAGACTTAAGTTCTTCAACAGATGAATGTATAAAGAAAATTTGGTATTTATAAACAGTGGAACATTAGTCTGCTGTAAAGAATGATTAATGTGAGTCATTTTTATGTAAGTGAATGTACCTTGAGACAATAATGATAAATGAAGTAAATCAGACACACAAGTTCAAATAACACATTGTTTCTCCTGCTTGTGAAACACAATGTGTAAATATGGAGCAAAACAGAGGAATAATTTGGGAAAGTGGGAAGAACATATTCAACAGGAAAGGGGAACAAGCGAGGAGGGAAGAGATACAAGAAAAAAGGGATTTATAAAAATGCATGGGGGGCACAAAATGAAAACAATGCTTTTGTAAATGGGGAGGGGAAGAAGGGTTGAAGCGAGACCAATCAAGTGGAGAAAAGGATATAAGACATTTTTGCCAGTACCAATTGTCTGATGAATGTAATCATTGTGTATTACAAATAGTAAGAATAAAACTTTAAACTATTGCACTGTTCAGTGCACCTTAATTGTACAAATTAGTTGGTGTTGCTGTAAAAATTTCATACATGCATATGTTGTACCTTGATCTTACCCACTTTTTTGAATTTACCCTCTTTGACCCTTTTCTCTCTCTCACCTCCTACTATTCTTTCTCTTCCATAATAATCTCTTCTTCTTTTATGCTATTTATTTTTCTAGTTTTTATATATGCAAAAATGCCTCTTATACTTGTCTGTCTGTGACAGGCTTATTTGACTAGCTTGATGAACTCTAGTTTTCATCCATTTTCCTCCAAATGAGGTTATTTCATTCATTATGGCTGAATTATACTTTTTTTCTGTAATCTGTTGACAGGCACCTGGTCTGATTCCATAACTTGGCTGTTGTGAAGCATGATGTGATAGACATGGATTGGGAGGCATGTCTTCTCATCTAACTTTATATATTGAGTGCAATTCTAATGACATTGAATTTGTCACTAGAAACTTTACAGGTATGAAAAAATTAGCATAACATTTTTCAGTTTCTGAAAAAGCAACTTTTATGCCAGATATCATGTCTGGTAAATAAAAGATAATGAATAACAACAGAAGAATGAAAACCAGAGGAAACAAACAAAACCAATAATAATGGCACACTTAAATCATAACATATTTGATTATCATGTATTTAAATGACACAAATATATCAGTTATTGGAAAAAACAGATGTGTTGTGTCTGGGGGTGGACCCTGCTGTTTTGCAGCCAACTAGGATTACAAACTTAGCATCAGTAATTCATTAAAGGAATAATGTTTAAAAGAGAAAACACCTTCCTTATATAAAGCAGAACTCAATAGGTAGCTACTGTAAGAGGCAGGGGCCTTGAAGTGGAAATCTGTAGACCTCTGTCTTCAGCTCCCTTATATTATGTGATAAGGACTCTCCTTCCCATGTTTGTATGCAGAACTTGCCACAGCCTTATGGGTGCTCTGGAATATCATAGATAATTCCAGGCCAGTAACAGGGATCCAAAGGTTTTGCTGACCCATGTGCATGTGCAGTCTGTGGCTAAGATTATGCTTTATTCCCCAGAGAATCAGAGCATTATGTGAACTGTAGCATCCTACCCTCAAGGTGAAACAGTTTCAACTCTCCCTTAGTCACATTCTCTTGGCTGGAACAAAATAGCAGATACCTCCATATTTAAGAAGAGGTTTATTTTGGCTTAAAGTTTTAGAGAAATTTCTGTCCATGGTTGGTAAACTGAAATGCAGAAATAGCATGGTGGAAATGCCTGGCATGGAGGAAAACTGCTTACATGGTGGTCAGTAAGCAGAATGGAGTAAGGGAGTGAAATATTCACTTTCAGATCATGCCTACAGTGACTCACCTCTAGCCAGTGCCCATTTCCTATCTAGAAATCAGCTACAGCACCTCCATAACCCGTTCACATTCCAAAAGTTCCATCTCTGAGGACCTGAGAGATTTGGGAGGCATTCTAGATCTATATCATAACATTCCATCCCTGGCCCACAAGAGGTGTATGTTTATCTCTTTATGTAAAACACATTTATTTCATCTCTAAAATGTGTAAAGTTTTAACAGGTGCATTATTGTTGGAAAGTCCAATCATAAAGTCTCTGTTGACACTCAAGGCAAACTCTTACCTATCTGTCCCTGTAAAAATCAAAAAGAAATTTAAATACTGCTGCTGCTGATGTACAGTGGCATAAGATAAACATTCACCTTCCAAGAAAAGGAAGAAATAGGAGTGTAGAAAGCAATTGGCCAAAAGCAAGACCAAAGCCCAGGAAGGCAAACATCAAATCACATAAAACCTTAAATATAAAATGCTATACAGAACAGAAAGATGAAAACTTGTGAATTGATTAAAATAGATTTACATCAACTATTTAAGCATGAAAATTTAAAGTCTTTTATCATCCAAAGATAGTTTTTATTTTACCCTGGACATTCCATGAAAACTCCTGCAATTAGCCACAGGCCAGAGTGCATGTCTTCAACATAAAAGCATCTATAACAAAAACTCATTATAAGCATTATTTCAGTACTCAGGGACACAAACTTCTCATAGACTTGTTTAAAATAACTAAGTCCCATACTACTAGGGACTGAATCAGGATTTCCAGAACTGTAATTGAGAGAATAATGAGTTCTTGAAAAATACGTAACCCAACATCAAGCAGAATAGAAATTAATTACATGGGACTGAATCAGCTAATCAAGGCTAACTATAGCTTTTCTTGGAAATATTTCAGATGTTTTAAATACTTTATTTTCTGGAAATGAGCAACTCATTTTTCTTCAAGCTGTGTAACTTTTAACAATCTAACAGATTATACTTTTTTTTTCTGGTACCGGGAATCAAACTCATGACCTTATACTTGCCAGGCACGTGCTGTGGCACTGAGCTAAATCCTCAGCCCCCCAGATTATACTTTTATAAATGGATATGAGACTTTTCTGTGGTTGTCTTTCCACATTTCTTCCATAATTTGAAATCACTTGAGTAGTCTTATTTTATTGTCAATATAATTAGCTACATTTGCACTAAAAATCTATCCTCCTTGTAATAGGACATATTATGAATGTCATAATTGAGAATGATGTGCATGGAATGAAATATGACTACAGTTATAAAGAGGTTTACCTTTCTGGAGTCAGTACTTATAAATTGTCATATAAAACTGAACTGATACCTGTCTTACAATGTTCCTTATACATGAGTAAAAACAAGTAAAAATAGGTCACTTCCTGTTAGGCCAAGGAATGTTAAAGTATTTTGGAGATCTCATGAAGAACATATTTCATCCAAATCTGTAAGTACTTCTAGGAAAAACAGATTGTGAGTTTTTGCCTTGTTTTCCTCATTTAAGAGGTGTTTAAAGTGTAGTCTAAGGCTTATCCTAACTTCCACTTAAGGCAAATTAGCATTCCTTTTTGGGAGTGGGATTGAACCAAGGGATTACCACTATTCAAAGAAATTGGTGTTCTGTGGTTCTGGGGTTGTATTTTGCTTCTGCATCTTGTCATTTTCTATTTTCTCTTTTTTGTTTTGTTTTCTATGTTGATACTTGCCAAGTTCTTATGATATATTGCTTTCTCACAAGTATTTATATTTCCCTAGGAGATTTCTGCTCTTCAAGGATGTCTTCTAGATGTACATGGCTTCTTATAGCTATCCCAAATCCCTAGCTTCCCAATTTGTAAAGGATGCAAGATTACTATTTGACTCTGCTCCTAATCCTTTGGTTCTGGGTTGTGCTGGTGATTATGACCACACATAGGGTCACAGTGTTTTCATACAGGGGAAAAAAGTGTTTATAATATGTATGACATTGGATTATTGTAGTATAGTTAGCAATAACAATAGTTTCAAGAGCAGCTTTACTACTAATAAACTATGGTAACCATTAACCTGTTACCTCTGACCATGAAAGTACACTGGAAAATTATGTATGAAAGTCAAACATATACTGTGCACTTGTATGCACTGATTTTCCTCTTAGTCAGATGATTTTACACTTGTATTCAGAGCAGTGGGGTGTAAGATGGTTAGGGACAGGCTAAAGTTATGAGTGAGGTGAAATATGTGGAGTGAGTGTTGGAAATTAAAGGATGATGACCCAAGTTTTGGGAAACTTGAGGACACAGGAGGGATAGAATAAACCAGAATACAAAGCCATGTACATGATGATGTGGGATAATGTAATGATTATTCTAGTGAAACTAATTAACACATTCATGATTTCAACATTATTTTCTTTGCAAGAACAGCTAAACCATGCCTAATATGATATAATTTCATTATATATAATCCTAGTGTTGTGCATTAGTTTACTAGAATTTTCATCTTACTTGTAATCTACTTTGTATTTTCTGTACTGTTATTCTGGATTTTCTCCCTGTCCATTGGTAGTCACTATTTTATTGTGTATCTCTATACCATTATCTTTTCTAAAAAATTCACTATATCAGTGACATTAAATAAGGCAGTGGTGCCCATTCTTGCCTTTTACAATCTGCATAGTAATGAAAATAACAGCAAGATTAGACAAGAAAAAGAAATAAAACATATCTAAATTAGAAGAGAGGGAGTGGAAATGCCATATTTGTAGATAATCCTACATTAAGAAAAAAAGAAACTTCACAAGAAACTGTTAGAATAAATGAATGAATACATGAGTTCAGCAAAGTTGCAAAATGCAAAACCATTACACAAACATGGATACATATTTTATATACACATAAGAATCTAGTTGAAGAAATCAAGAAAACAATCCTATTTATGGTATCAAAAGTAAAGCAAGAATAAGTTAAGCCAAATAAATAATAGATTTTTTAATAATAGATTTTTGCATGGAAAATTCATAAAGTAATCTGAAGACTCAAATAAGCAAAAAGGCATTCCATATTCATGCATTGCAGATATTGCTAATATGTCCATACTACCTAAAATAACATAGAAATTCAGCACAATTACAGTTATAATCTCAGTCCCAATGGCATTCTTCAAATAAAGAAAAAAGAATCCTACAGTTATGTAAATTAAAAAAAACCAACTAGCCAAAGCAATTCTGAGAAAGATAAATGAAGTTGGAATCATCATGCTTCCTTATTTAAATTTATGAGTCTAAGCTATAGCTGGCAGCTAGACATACACCCTCCTGCTTCTTCATTACCTTCAACCATCATCAACTGTGCTTAGGTTCCCCTAGGTCACTGTTAGTGAACCTATAGCATGTGTGCTGCACTGAACACATGGAGTCTTCTCTGTTGGCATGTGATCCATGTTGTCCCAGTATCCCTGGCAGTCAAGCATTCAGGTTTAATTGCAAAGTTGGCACTTGTGATAAATAAGTGGGCTTGGTATAGCCATTTGTGCACTCAGTCTCTAAAAGGTTCACCATCACTGCCCTTGGCTCATTTGCAACATTAGTACTCTGCACAAACTACTGATATAAACTGCCATTATGGTGAAGCTTACACAGGCTGCTAAAAAATCAAGGTATCTCTAGGAAAATTGCACCTGTCCCAAAGGAGTTAAAAGAAGATAGTGATGATGAGTAAAAATTGGAAAATAAAGGTGACAGCAGTGGAGAGGGGGTTGTCATCCCTTACAGAGTAATTAAAATGCTACCACGACTCTATCAAAAAGTCTTGTTTTCGCCAAACAAAAAGGTTGCAGTTACTCCTGCTGGCATCCAAAGCAAAAAGGTGGCAGCAGCCACACTAGCCACAAAAGGTTACACCCACAATTATACCCACCAAGACAAGAAAGAAGCCAGGCTAGGCAAGGTTGTGGCAGCAGTCTCAGGCAAAAAGAGAGCTGTTTCCCTTACCAAGGGGGCAAAGAACAGCAAAAAAATGCCAAGAAGAAAGACAGTGATGATGAGGAAGATGATCGCAGTGAGAAGGAAGTTGATGAGGAAGATGATGAGAAAAATGAAGAATTTGAACCAAAAGTGGTGAAAGAACTACCTTGTTCTTCTCTCTCAGAGGATGTGGATAACAAGAAGGAGGAATTTGAGGAGGAAGAGGATATAATGAGCAGGAAGACAACTGAAGAAGAAGCAGCTATGGACACCACACTAACCAAACAAAAGAAAGCTTCTGCAAAAGCCACTTCAGAAAAGCAGAAAAATGTGGCTAAGAAGGAGGAAGATGATAAGGATGAAGATGGGGAAAATGATGAAGATTATGATGTTGAAGGCAAAGGGAAGAGTAAGGAAGAGGAGGAAGATCCTTTTGAAGCAGCACCTGGAAAATGCAAAAAGAAAATGACCGAACAACAAGAAACATAAAGTGAAGCCAAGAAACATAAAGTGAAATGCACAAAACCAACTACAGTTTTCTTGAAGCCAAGAAACATAAAGTGAAATGCACAAAACCAACTACAGTTTTCAATCTCTTGGTTGGAAATATGAGTTCTAAGAAATCTGGTCTTGAATAAAAAGTGGTATCAGTTAAATTTTTGCTTAAAAGGATCTCACTTTTGTGCATGTCAGAAGTGGTATGAATAGGAAGTTTGGCTACATGGACTTTGAATCTTCTGAAGACCTGGAAAACATCTTGGAATTCACTTGTTTAAAAGTCTTTAGCAATGAAATTAAAATAGAGAAACCTAATGGAAAATACAACAAAATAATTGCAATTGAAGAACACTTTCTGCCAAAAATCTGACTTATAATGTGACTCAAGATGAATTAAAATAAGTGAAGATGCCAAAGAAATCATACTAGTTAGCAAGGGTAGGAAGAATAGAGGAATTGCATATATTGAACTTAATAGAGAAAGAGATGCAACCTCTCCTACAGTGCAACAGAAGAAACTCTTTAGGCAGTTTTTGAGAAGACAACTTAACCAAAATGGTAAATCTAAAAGGTACAAGTTTATAGAATTTACTTTATTTGCAGATGCTCTAGAGTCTTTTAATTCTTATAATAAAGGAAAAATTGAGGGTAGGGTGATCATATGAGCTCCAAGGACAAAGAGGGCCACATAACTCAAGAAACTATCCATTGGAAACCTCATTTGTGAAGGGTTAGTCTGAGTAAACCATCAAAAAGTCCTTTTAAAGAATCATTTTACAGCTCTATTCAAACAAGTATAGTCAGTGACTGGGAAACTGGGTCCTTGAAGGGGTTTAATTTTGTAGACTTCCCCAGTGACAAAGATGCCAGTGCCATGAAGGCCAACAGGGAGGCCATGGAACATGGTGAAATTGGCAGAAGCAAAGTAACCCTGGACTGGATCAAACTTAAGGGTGAAGGAGGCTGAGCTACACAAGGTATAAGGAAAAAAGATGAAGTTTAAGTAGTCCTTTATGTCACTGTCCTGATCTGTTCCACTGGAAAGAAAGGATTTTGGGCTTTTACTCTGTTACTTGTTTAATGTCAGAACCTCCTGAGGACATTTCGAGATGATGTGTGTCCTGCAGTCTACTTGGAAAGCATAGAGATGATATTTCAGGAGAGATACTACATTGTTGTTTTTGACTGGAGATTCATAAACTTTTTAAAGTAATGAGTGATAGCATTAACCATTATGTGTAACTTTTGAATGTATATTGTTTAATCCTATGTGCAAAACTTTTTCCTACAAAAAATTATATTATCAAGGTACAGCAATTACACATATAGTAGTAGAGGCATAAAGACAGAATCAGACTAATGGAATAGAATACAGAGCACAGAAAATATCCAGACATATATGCACAAGTAGTTATTCAGAGGGACATTAAAAAATGCAAAGCAATATCCTTGAATAGTGTGTTAATTTTCCTAACAAGTGTGAGAAACATCTTAATAGACCTTGCCAAAAGCAAAGTTACAAATTTTCATAAATGTGTCATAGTTTTATGTTTTACATTTAAGTTTCTGATCCATCTTGTTGAAATTTTTGCTTTTATTGTGAGGTATGGCTCCAAACCCATATTCTGTCGTGTAAATTTCTGTCTCACTGTCACTTGAGGAAAAGGTTGTCATTTCTGCATTATGTTTTCTTAACATATTTAATGAAAATCCCATGTTCATATAGATAAGGATTTATTCTGTATTATCTACTCTGTAACATTGATTAATTTGTCATTTACACTTCATGTAATTATTTATATGTCCTTTAATATAATTTAGTAGTTGACCTAGTATTTATAATGTACAGCTTTATTTACAGTCCATCCTCAAATTATGTATTACATCACACAGAGTACAAGAACTTTACACAGAATACTTTCATGCATTTCTCCCATTTTGGTTCAGTTTTCATCATATATTTTAGGTTTACATATTTTTATAAACCTATCACACAATGGTGTTTTACATGCTTTAGTCAATTTTCTGAAAGAAGGATTAAAAATGTTAAAGAATCTTTTGTATTTATCTCCTCTTAACAATTTCTGAGTTCTTCCACTTATTTGTTTATATACTAGTATGTCTCTGAAAATATGCCTTTACACTTCAAATAGTATAGTTAGATTAGGAATGAATTCTTTTATCTTTGTTTGGAAATGTTATTGTTGCTGTATTTTTAAAACATTTTGCTTAGTGTGAAATTCTAGGTTGAGAGTTTTTTTCCCATTCAGTTGTTTCCTTTTTCTATTTTCATTGAGATGTTATGTTATTTAAGATTTATGATTATCAGGTGAAAAGTTACATTATTTTAGCATATTTAGAATTGTGCAATCATTACCAGCAGCATATTTTCATCACCCTAGAAAGAAATCCCATAACTATTTTTAGTCATTCCACATTTTACTCTTTTCCGTCTTTTGCTGCCATGAATTTAGTATGTTTACATATATTTCCTTATTTAAGACATTTCATAAAGTGAAGCAACATAAACATGGCCTTTTCTGTCTTTGTATATTTAGCATGATTTCAAAATTAAAGCATGTTTTATCATATGTTAGTATTTTGTTCTTCACTGTGGTCACTCTATTCCAAGCTGTGGATACACCACAATTATTAATTCATTAAAACAATTGATAGCCAGGCACAATGATATATGTGTGCAATCCTAGCACTCAGAAGCCTGAAGCAGGAGGATTGCTGTTAGTTCAAGAGCAGACTAAGCTCAAAGAGAGTTCAAGCCAGCCTGAAGTCCATAGTGAAAATATTTGATAAATATTAGGGTTGTTTACATTTTTGTTATTATATAATGTTTCTGTAGGGCTCTGCCCTATTGCCACAACAGTAATTCTTCAGTAATTCTGAGGCAGAAAGTCCAGAAAATATCAACATGGAAGAATATTGGAAGTCATACACCTGAAATTTCTTAAATGACAGCAATTGAAGTACAAACTGTATCAGGCTATAGAGGAAATCAGATCAGAAATAATCACTCATGTAAAAAAAAAATGACAACCATAATGAAGATATTGCTCAGCATATCAAAAGAAGACATAGATAAAAAATAGAGGAACATAGAAAAATGATGCACACCTTGAATGAACAGTATAGGAAAGAATCAGAATGCATCAAACAGATTCAAAGAGATATGCAGGAAATTAAAAATTTCATTGAAAACTGGCAAAACTGCTTCAATGAAATGGGAAGATATACTTTCAGACCTTGAAGGCAGCAATGCAACTCTTGATCATGTCAGGAAAGATCTCTTAGAGATAACAAGGAACCAGCAAATAAAAATTCAACAGCTGCTACATGCAAAGAAAAACAATATAAGACTAATAAGCATCAACAAAAAAGCAGGAGGCAACATGAATGAGGTAAAACCATTATTTGCAGAAGTAATAACAGAAAATTTCCCAAACATGGGAGAAGAACCTGACGTACAGGTAAGTGAGGCATATAGAGCTCCAATTATCCATAACCACAGATCACATGTGAAGGGAAACCAATCAGAATCATGGTAGATTTCTTAACATAAACCATCAAGTAAAGAAGAGTTTGGAGTGAAGTATTTCAGGTCCCGAAAGAAAACAATTTCCAACCTAGATTCTTGTGCCCTGCAGAACTATGATGATGGAGAAATAAGGTATTTCCATGACAAAGATCAACTGAAGAAATTGATGACCACCGAACCAACCCTACAAAGAGTACTGAAAGATATTCTACAAAGAGAAAAATTACCATAATTTCAAGACCAACAATAAGAAATACCTTACCTTACCACCAAGCAAGGTAAGCATTTAAACAGAGGGGCAAAGTACAGAACTAACAGTGGGAAAATAAGATGACCAAGATAAGTCAACACATATCAGTAATAAACATTAAGGTAAATGGTCTCAATTCACCAATAAAAAGAAACAGACAAGCAGAGTGGATCAAGAAAAAATATTTCAGTAAACATTGGTGTACAAGTTTGTATATAAACATGGTTGTCAGTTCTTTCAGATTTGTATTTAAGTGGTGGAATTATTTAGGCATACCATAATTTTATGTTTAATTACTGAGGTTCAGTCAAAATGCTTTCCACAATAGCTGAACTATTTTATATCCCCACCAGGTATGCATGGTGCTTATACTTTCTCTATATTTAAGCAATACCCTTTTATTACTTTCATTATATTTGTTATATGCATTCTGATGTCTATGAAGTGGCAACTCATTTGTGTGTTTTAAATTGAATTTTACTTTATGCAACATAAACTAATCACTGTAAATAATTCAATGATATTTAGTTCATCATTTTTTGTGAACTAAAGTTCACAAAAGTGGTGTAACCTGTATCCAGTTCTAAAAAATTTATGTAACTCTAAAAGAAAACTCTGTACCAATCAAGCAGTTGCTCACAGTTGCTGTCACTTTCCAGTCCCTGGAAATCACCTATCTGCATTCCTCATGTATAGATTTGCCTATTGGAAATATTTCATATAAACACAACCACACACTCTGTGATGTTTTTGTATCCGGCTTACATAATTTAGTAGAATGTTCACAAGATTCACCTACATTGTATCATATAACAATTTTCACTTCTTTTATGGCTGAATAATATTCCCTCATATGTATGTACCACAAGTTATTCATCCATTCATCCACTGATAAACATTTGGATTGTTTTGGTCTTTTGGTAATTGCTGCTGTGAGGATACTTGTATAAATATGAATCATTTCATCTGGTTGTATAACTAGGGATTGATCTGATGGTTCATGTAGTGTTTGTATATTTATATTTTTCTGGAACCATTAGTTTTCTTTGCATTGATCCACTATTTTATATGTTTTTGTGGAAGCAGTAATTTGTTTTCCATAGGCCCACCAATGTATGAGGGATCCAAAGTCTCCACATTCTCTCTGAACTTGTAATTTTTTGTCTCTTTAATTTTAGGCTTCCTAATGGCTGAGAGGTAGTATCGTATTTGGTTTCAATAT